TCCAAAGGTGACAGCGCAGAGGGAGATCAGCGTTGGAATTATGACTCTGTAAACGGCACAGACACCAGGAGCCATGACCGTGACTGGAATGACCACCTAATGCTGCTTCACTTTGCCATGCAAAGTACTTTGACACTCAGGAGAAGACCTTTCCTCTGTATCATTGTTGCTGCCATTTGCATGTGAGAGCTTAGATTGTGGGGAAGATTAAAGATGAACAAAGGGTGGTGGGAGAACAGTGAAGTGAGGATACACAGTGTGAAACTCCTTTAAGTGTACAATAATGTTGATGTGATATACAGAATGTCAGGAAAGAAATTCTGGTTTTAATGTGATTCTTGATATAAGAATCAAAGGGTGGGATTGTATAGGAATTTCTTTCATTTATGTATTAATCACATTATTTTTGTATAATGCCTTGGTGCCACTGGATTTTAACATGTCTGAAACCCATACTGAAGACAAATGGTGGGGGTGTAGTAAGGAAGTTTGGGGAAGCAGACCAGAGTCTTTTGTCTCTTCGAGGACTCTGGGAAGTAGCAAGGGAGTGTGAACCTTAAGGTGTGAAACAGCTGTGTACTGCCTTTTGTTCCTGGAGAAGGTATTTAACTGAGAGCCATGCTAGGCTCAGGGAGAACTCTGCTGACCGTCTGTCCCGCGGACATGCAGGGGCTCCATCAAGCTTGGTTGTCTGTTGTCTTTGTGTGTTTGGATTAAAGAATGTTAGCTACTGCTCACCGCTCGTCTGCAGGCTTTAGTCTGTGAAGGTTGTGAAAACCTCTCAGTCAAATTGTGATAATGTACCCACTTCACCATTCACAATGGTTTTGAGATTTCACATGATCAAAGCTGAGACACCAACAACAGCAGGACTCATATTGACCTAATTAGTTTCAGACAGGCCCTCTTTTGGGTCTTGATAACCAGAAACTAACTGCACTTGGGAAGACCATTTATCCATCCATCTATGCATCCATCCCCTGGAGCCTATCCCAGCTAACATTGGGCCAGAGGAAGGGTAACACCCTGGAAGGTTTACCAATCTGTCGCAGGCTACGACCTATTATTCAGATTTTTTAATTATTTGGATTTTACACCATCAGCTCACTCATCTCAGTTAAAGACTAGAACGAATGCTTACATGCACAGGACTTCTGTGCAAAAGTCCTGAGTCATCCCATTTATATTTTCTCAAGAAAATGGGAAATGGGTGCGTCAATTTCTTGAAATGTGCAAACAAAAAAATACAGTACAGAAGAAAAAAGATTGTAAAAGTATAACAAGCTCACGCCTATTATATCTGTACAAACTAAAACTCCCTATGTGGTATGACTCTCTTTGAGCGATTGTGGCTCAAGAGTTGGGAGTTCGCCTTGTAATCAGAAGGTTGCCGGTT